GGTCACAATGAAAAATGACAGAGCAGAGATTGATCTTTTCCTGAACGACGACACCGAATCCAGACGAAAGGAGTAAAAACAAGAAAAACAACATAAGAAGCCGCGCGGAGGAAGATGGTCCGCAAATACAAGGTCCCGTACCTAGTCAACCCCCCCCGTGAATGGCCGGAACCACGCCTGAGAAGCCGAAACTGAAACATTCCACCTAACCTCGTGAGACGACAGAACGATCGCCCGTTCTCGTCCCCGACAGACAGCAACAGCAACACGTTGCCCCGGAAGCCTGCCCTCTCCCCTGAGCAATCGCGGTCCCTGGAGCAACGGCACACCGAGCCTGCCCTCGCCAATGGCATCCTCAACACCCGCCCTCTCCTCGCAAGGCGACAACAACACGTGCCACACGTGCCGCAGCAACACAACCAACCCCGTCTCGCCGACCAGCCAGGGCTTTGACCGCCCAGCACTCATCCGCGCCGATTCGTCTCCAGCGGAGGCTCGTTCGCCGCAGCCGGGCCTGGCTCCGCCGCCTCCGTCCTTCGGCTTCCAGAGAGCTCCGATCGACCCTTCCAAGGTCGTCTGCCTCGGCCCTCTGCCGGGCAACGTCACCTTGCCAGGCTACAGTCCCGACCCGCGCCTTCGCGGCCTCGACGTGCCGAGGTCTTCTACGCCGGGCAGCAACTGGTCGCCGGGCAACACGGCGGTGAGCAGCAACCGCAGTGAGAGCTGCGAGCAGCAGCAGCAGCAGGCGAACCGTGGCGGCTTGGGAACGCTGCCGGAGCATCAACGTATCGACGCCGATTTGGAGATGGTGCATGTTCCGCAAATGGCGGAAAGGCGATATAGCTGGGAGGAGGAGAGGTCGCATGGTACACGGGAATCATAGAATCATACATGGATCGGGCGTTTTTGGGATTGAACCGTGTCACGGGGCGGGGGGGCATCGGTCTTGGAGTTTATGCAGCAATCTAGTCACTCGGACAAGAAGAATTTTGTCAAGGAAAAACCACATGCGGCATTGTCGCCTGTTAGCCAGATATTTGGAAGAATAAGTCAAATAGTGCCATCAAGAGCTTGATGAACAATATGCCTTCCTTGACTAGTCAGGTGCTCAGGGCTTTACATACGAATGGAAGAGCGATGTAACAGCAATGACAAATCGTGATATTGGCCACTATTCACCGTCGCTTCGGTGAGACGAACCCCCCGTCAAGATGTACCGTGGAGGTAAAGGAGGAGGCTGAGCTAAACAAAATACAAGCTCACCAGATCTCCTGCCACCAGGTTAACCTCGCCAGTATCTCCTCCGCCTCCGTCTCGGTTTCGCAGAGGCCACCGACGCGCAGGCACTCCACAACCGCGGCCCGGCACGCCGTGGCCATTTTACTACTGCCGCCGCAGACGATAAAGATGACATTCTCCCGGGCCATGTCTACGACGGCCTGCGCCTGCTGCCGGATGACATCTTGTATATATATCTTCTCCTTTTGGTCTCGCGAGAACGCCGTGTGGACCTCGAGCTTGGAAAATGGCGTGGCGGCCCATTCATCTGCGAAGAAGAAGTCCTTGTTGCGGGAGCGGTTTCCAAAGAAGAGCAAGGCCCTGCCAGTGGGCGAATCGTTGTCATCGTAGCGGAGCCGTTCCTGGATGAGGGCATGGATGGGTGCAATGCCTGTACCGGTTGCGAAGGCGCAGAGTGGCCGACGCGCGTGCAATTTGCCATGCAGACTCGTCAGGGACGGCTTGTGGCTAGCTAGTACTGCATTTCCTGCAGCGAGTAGGTTGATGTAGCGCGAGCATAGACCGGTGCGGATCTTTCGAAGGACTGTCTGATACTTCACCAAGGCGACGAGGAGCTCGAGCTTGTAGGGAGAGTCGCTTCCGGGTTCTAACGGCTCGATGCTGGCAATGCTGAAGTCACGGCCGCGGATTATGGGGAAGACATCAAGTACATACTCCGGAGGAAACTGAACCGAGTGGAACTCCTCGAGAACCTCGATGATAGTGCGTCGCGGCCGAGTAGCGTAGTCGTAATACTCGTCGATGTATTCCGACTTTGTGAATTCGAGGAGCCGTTCCTTGTGATCTGAATCCGTGCAATGGTGAGAGATAGCCTCAAGAAAACTGCGCCGAGGAATCGCGGTTATGTCCAGGTTCTCGGTGAGCAGACGTCGTAGTGTCGTGATGTTGGTCGTATAAAGACCGGTCGGGCGTTCATTGAGCGTCCCCAAGTCCACAATGTTGTCCGCAATAGCCCCCCATTGCATCACGTGCAAGAGCTTCTCGACATCTTGAGGTAGATTTCTGGGGTAGAGCCTCAGGCAGTCGCCAGGATTGAATTGAAGTGCCGGTGGTTGTAGATGACGAATCCCGAAAGAAAGTCTTCGGACATCTTGCCAGTGCTCAGTTGGCGTGACCCGGGTGTTTGAGTTGACTTCGACGACAAGACCGCCAGGCACTGCGGGAATAAGATTCTGCAATGCTTGTTGGTTCAGCTGTTCAGCACCCGCATCCAATGGAGTGGCAGCCGCTGATGACCCCCCTAACGTTATCAAGTGACTGTAATTTAGGAATCCTTCAGCGGCTGTGTCGAAT